CCCTGCAGTGGAAGCTGCTCAAATGAGGGTGTTTTAAGTACGAGGCTCAGGGAACTACATGGATATGTGGAGATTGATGTGTACTAATTTTCGTGGAAAGCTGTGTGATATATATAAAAATATGTGAGGTTCAGATATTTGTCTAACAAAGATTGTTTATAAAGGACCTAGGATTGTGTCCACATAACTACAAATCGTTGGTTAACCAGTGAAATGGGAAAAGTTATTAAAAAGGGGACATTTTAATGACCACAAAAATTGACTCATTCCACTTTTCTCCTAGCCCACATTTTGAAAAGCATTTTATTTAAAACATACCCCAACATAGACTAATACAATGAAACTTCTTGCATGTATCCTTGTGCTCAAAGTGTATCAACTCATGGACAGTATTCTGTGCTCTATGTCCAGACCTGCTTCTTCCAAAAGTCGCAGCTCTCCTGTAAATACTTCATTATGCATCTGTAAAAGCTAACTTTTAAAAAACATAACCACACTGTTATCACATGTAAAATCAGTTGAAATAGTTTCTCAAAGGCCTTCAATAGCCAGTCAGTATTTAAATTTATAATGGTTTTGTAATTATGGCTTTCCCCTCCTGTATATTTGAATTAGGATCCAAATAAGGCCATGCATTGTTTCTGATAACCATATTTATTTATTAAAGATTTATTTGAGAGAGAAAGAGCATGAGCGGGTTGTGGGGGGCAGAGGGAAAGGGAAAGAGAGGGAGAGAAGCAGACTCCCTACTGAGCTCAGAGCCCTATGCAGGGCTTTGATTTCAGGACCCTGAGATCATGACCTGAGTCTAAATCAGGAGTCTGACATTTAATGGTCTGAGCCACCAGGTGCCCCTACTGATAACTATTTAATGAGCACCTTTTTAATCGATAAGTTCTCCTTCCATCTCTCTATTTCCCTTGAATGTTATTTGCAAGAGAGATGGGGTCATTTGTCCTGTGGAATTTCCCACAGTCAAGATTTTGCTGATTGCAACACTGTTACGTCACTTAACACCTTCGTCTTCCTTCCTTGTTCATTTCCTGGATTCAGGTTTAATATTTTTGGTTCCCCTGTGCCCCACCCCCCCCAAGTAGTGGTGTTTTCTTCCACCAGGAGAAGTTTTCTATCTGGCTGTCTCTTTTTATGATGTCTGCAGCGGTTGATGCTTATTGACTTGATCCATTAATTCATGTAGAGTTTCACAATAATATATCAGCTAAGGAACTTCTACAAAGAAACACTTCTATTTGGTAACCTAGCGGTTCAGTTGGTATAGGAAAGTCAGATGTTAATTGACCCGTTTTCAAAAGAATGATTCAAACTGCTATCATCTTCTAATGAATTCCAATGAACTAATTTTAAAAATATTAGGAGCTCACACATGTTTTGATCCATTCCAATAGTTTCCCTTATCAATGATCAAAATGGCTTCGTGTCAGCCACTCTTCGGTCAGTTCCTGGTCCTTGTGACAAGACCCTATTTGTCTTTAGTACCATTGCAGCCATTTTTATGACCTTTTTTCTGAGTCCATCTTGCTTAACTTAACATCTTCCTTGGGCTCTTTCGTCCCTTTAATGGAGAATAGTATTTAGAAACCATAGTCTAGGTGCTAGAGGTACTCATGGCTAGAAGGTTGGTTTTTATTTCTAGGTCTTTTCTAAGGACAGAAGTGGGAATATCTTTAAAATCTAAAATGCAGCAATTAAAATTCAGGACTATTGGGATTTTACAGAATTTCATCCATTTTGTATCTGAAATCTCTTAGATTCTAAGACTCCTTAACTTCATCCCACATTATACCAATAATAGTATCAGCATAACAATAGGATTCCTGGACACTGTTTAAGAGTTTTTATTTTGTATTTTGTATTGTTTTTTGTTTTTAGAATCTATCTTAGTAGAGCCATATGGTAAAAATACTGTGTTTTAAAATCTCTTGGAATATTTTCCTATTATGATACTAACTGGATATACATTCTGGCACATTTGTTTAATTTTATTTTCAATTTTTAGGGATTGCTTTTTCAAAATTTAAGTCTGTTGTATTAATACATAGAATATTTACATGGTTGCAAAGTCAAATTAACAAAACAAAGTATATTGAAAGAAGATGGGCCTCTTTGTCACTTCTTCCTGATTCCTTTTTTTTTTTTTTAAATAACCATTTCTTAATATTGGGGATTTTAAAATTGCAAACAGATTATATATAACGTGCATTACATATATGTTACATATACTTACATATTTGTATTCCACTCTTTCTTAATAAATTGGAGCGTACTTTCTCTCGTTGTTTTCTTACATTATTGCCTGGATAGCATACTGCCTGGTAGCACAAAGAGAGAATTCTCATTTTTTATTTTCACAGCTACACTGTACTCTGTCGTGTGGCTGATGTTCTGTGGTTTTTTTCAACCAGTCTCCTATGGGTAGACATTTGCATTGTATCTAGCATCTTGTCTCTTGCTATTACAAATAGGCTAGAAATGAATATCTTACATAAGTCTTTTTGCATTTTTATCAGTGAATTTTGGGTGGGATTCCTGGAATTGAAACTGCTAGGTCAAAAGGTAAAAGCACCTTTTCCCAAATTCTGTCGTGGTTGTGCCTTCCTTCCCACCAGCAATAGATGAGAGTGCATGTTTTCCCCCAGCCTCCCTCACAGAGTGTGCAGTCAACTTTGGATTTTTGGCAACGTAATGTGTCAGAAGTGATACCTGATTGTGGTTTCAAGTTGCATTTCTCTTTATGTGAGCAAGGTTGAGCATCTTTTTGTATGCCTAAAAGCCATTTGAATTTCTTTTTCTGTGGCTATCTGTTCATTTCTCCAGCCCATTTTTCTATAGGGTTGTTGGGCTTTAGAAACTATTAATATTTTATTTCAGGGACATTAATCATTTCTCTGCTATATAAGTTGCAACTATATTTTCCCAGTTTGTCATTTGTCTTTTTGCCTTTTCATTGCCCTCATTTTATCCCATGATTTTCAGAAACCATCCCACCTGCCATGCATGACCACAACTACCTTCTTTAATTATCAGGACCAAAATCACAATAAACTGGGAATCCTGATCCTAAATTTACCAACCTCACAGGGCTTTGTGCTTATTCAGTGACACATCACTGAAAAAAGCTTTGAAAAGCATAAAGCATTTTAGGAATCAGACAAGTTTAGGAAAGAATGTCAGTATTGACCAAATAACTTCCAGATAATTGGGTTTCTTTGCTTTAGTTTGTCAGTAACTTTCTCAACCTGTTTTATCCAGGTGATGTTCTCCTATCTCAAACTTTGATTCTGCCATGTACTTATTAATTTTTCTGGGGAAAAAAATGTGTGTCTGTATGTACATTTGTGTCTCTGGGCAGAATTTGGGAGTTTGTGGAATATTGGAAAGGCTTGGAGTTTTCATCAGAATGATCCAATTTGGCTGTGAAGTCAGTTGACTGAGCTCAAAGGTCTGGATTGCCTGGCTGAGAATGTAACACGAGGAAGGAAGAGGGAGAGATGTCCAAAAAGATTTTCACTCACGACATGATGGAGGACAGAAATGCCACTGGCTATGAGACATGCCTACTGATGTCTCCGTTTCAGAAGCCCTACAGAATTTAAACTACTAAAATAGAGTTGGGATATTTTCTCATCATGTAGTTGTCTTGCTTCTATGTGGTTTTGTCCTGTTTCTATTGTCATGTTTTAACATCCTCTTAGCCGAAAAGCCTTTCCTCTATTCCCCACAACCTGTCATTTAGGACATAGGCCATGTCTTCTTTATAAATGTGCCCTCAATTAATTCAGTTCACCTTAATGCATTTCCTTAACACAACTGAATTATATCATGGTTTTAATTAAACTGCCTTATGGTGTAATACCAGACAGACCTGTAAATTACGAAGGCGGCGGTGGGGGAAACCTTGGGAGATTATCAAGTTTAAAACCTCATTTCACTTGTGAGGAAGCTGCACTCTAAAAGCTGGAGCCCTCAAAGTTTACACATATTTCTAGCTTGACACAGAACTAAAGAAAGAATCAGGTCCCTTGATCCCAGCCTCGGGCTCCTTCCACTCTACCACTTACTCTTAACTCTTGCTCTGACAGAAACCTGCTGTGTGGCCTCGGGCCGTTCATGTGACCTCTCTTTGCCTTGGCTTTCTTGTTTTAAAAAAATGGGGCTAATATAAATCTGACGCTTTCCATCTCAGATATGCTTTGTGGATCAGAGGAGACCTATGAATTCACATTTATGTGACTGGACCTAAAATCACTTTGATAGAATAAAATTCTATCCAAAGGTAATATATTGCTCCATTGAGATAGCCATGGACCAAACTTATGTGAAGTCAATATTGGTTGACAATAATGACATTGATAATGTGGCGGAGATGTCTGTGTGTATGTCATCCTGGGGCTAGCGAAGCCCCAGGAAGGAATAAAGCTTTAAAATTGGAACATGAGGGCAAAGTAAAAAAAAAAAAAAAATCAAAACTAAAGGAAAAAAAAAACAATATGAACCTGAACACCCCAAAATGACTCCCTAAAGACCTGGGAAATATGTGAGTTAAGGAGATTGCATTAAAGAAAGTGTGGGACTTGTAAAACAATAGCCAGTATGTGGGAGATTAAACATCTGCTGCAGCCATAAATTGAGTCCCACTTGGAAACAGCCATATCCCCTCTAGAAATAACATTGTTCATAAGAACGTAATATACAGTACAACCCTGGTAAAGAGAATGCACATTAACCCATTAATTTAAAGAGTTTCAATCTCATTTTTATTTATATTTAAGCTTTTAATCCTAGAATAATTAGTCATTACTAGTATTTAATGACGGGCTTGCTAATTGTGTATCCCAGGATGGAGCAGAGAGCAGTTAACACACTCACAAAGTGGTCATTAACTAGTTTTTAATGATCAAATTCTCTGGGATTATGACTATTACAAGATATAATTAACAGTTGATAACCATTATTTTCTTTTTTTTTCTTTTTCTTTTTAGCGGAAAGAAGATCAGACAGAAACAATGAATGCTGGCCTGTGCGGTATTTCTTCTATCAGGAAGAACAGCTTCAGAGGCAAGTTTTGCTTTCTTAATCATTATTACGGCTGAGCAAACTAAATGCTGGTTCTGGCTGGCTGAACAAATAGGCTCTCTCTTCTCATTAGAGTGTCATGGGGGGCTTATTTCGTGGACAGTAAAACCCCCTGACTGCTGGAAAGCTTTCTATCAGTTCTTATTTGGTAAAAATAAAAGAATTAAGCATGGTGCTGCTCAAACTTGGGGAGAATTCAGCTCATGGAAAAACTTCTGGGCCTCATAAAAGTTTGCAAAACTTATTGGTGAAATTTGTCTTCTTCACATGGAAGCCCTTCTTTACCATGTGAAGTATTCTATGCCTTCTCATTCTCTCTCCCTTCTCTCAGAAACTAAACTGCCTTTCTAGAGTGAAGCTGATGAACATCAGATGTGAATGACACGTCACTAAAGCTTTTAAATTAGTGATAAAGTCTTAGTGGAGGGATTGGCTCCTCACCCTTGGCCTTGGAGACCAGCACTCACCCTGCTAGGGATGAGGGCAGTGCAGGTGGGAAGGTATGGCTTCCTTCTGGAGCATCATCCTCAGGTTAGGACCCCACTGCACACAGGAACCTTTCTATTAGCCCATTGGGGTTCTACCACCTAGAGTTGCTTTGGGCTCTTCTTAAAACAGCTTTTTGCTGGGCATACAATAAAATGAGAGAAAATGAGATAGTTATTTTTAACAAGTCATGATCTTAACTTTGAATAGATCTTTATTTAAACACAAGTATTAGTTTTGTGGTTTTAAATTTTCCTAAAGAAAAATCTTCCAGGACACCTTGGTGGCTGTCAGTTAAGCATCTCCCGTCAGCTCAGGTCATGATCCCAGAGTACTGGGATCAAGTCCTGCATCAGACTTCTTGCTTGGCAGGGAGCCTGCTTCTCCCTCTGCCTCTGCCGCTCCCCCTGCTTGTGCACTCGCGTTCTCTCTCTCTCTGTCAAATAAATAAATAAAATCTAAAAAAAAAAAAAAATTTTCCATATAGAAAAATGAGTATTTCCAGGACGTGGAAATCTGATTAGAAATTCCCTATGAGAGCTGAAATTAAGATAGAAAATATAATAGACTTATAAAATTAATGCATATTTAAATTTATGGAATATATAAAATATATAATGTAAAATGATGTATATAACACACAGAAGTGTATAATGAAGGAGACCCTTTGTTTGACATTCACACACACGTGGATTGTCAACTGTGGCCCCGGCACTGCTCTGGGGCTGTGGTCACAGCATGGGCACCTCTCCCATGGTACAGTGCAGGGCATCAGTATCAAGCCATGATGGGCGAAGAAGCCCTGGGTTTTAGGAAGTGTCTGTGGGTGTGAGGGGGAGGGGCAAACTAGTCTGGGGCCCAGAGAAAGACTTCTGGGGGAAATGAGGTCCCAGACACAAGGTGAGCCAACTTTCTCTTCTAGTAAAGACCCTTGAGCCCTGAAGGAAGGCAGGGTATTTGCCAAGCAGCCATTCAGTGGTACTTTTCCAACAGAAAGAGGGTCACGGTATAGCCAGATGCCAGAAACAAGCTTAAAAGTGACTTCAGACATTGGAGGAATGGTGGGGAAAAAGGGAAGAGAATATGTATTTGAGTAATAAAACTACTGTACTCATGTGGCATGAAAATTAGGGCACAATTCTGAAATATTAGACACTCAGTGGGAAGGGTTTTCATGCAGTGTACTTACTACTGGAAAAGAAAGGTTCTTGTTATTGGCCTGTCCTTGCTGCCATCAGAGGAGGAATGACTGATGAACAGTGCATTGCGTCGTTCATGGCTGTGAGCTTTGGGTAGGGTAATAGGGACCCTGTTGAATTTGACACACTGTAAGGAACATAACGGTTGATGGAAAATGGCCAATTTCGTTCTTGTGAGACTTGTTACCAGAAGCCTCTCCTTTCCTGGAATTAATTAATTAATTATAAGATTTTTTAATTTACTTATTTGACAGAGACACAGCAAGAGAGGGAACACAAGCAGGGGGAGTGGGAGAGGGAGAAGCAGGCTCCCCACTGAGCAGGGAGCCCGATGTGGGGCTCGATCCCAGGACCCTGGGATCATGACCCGAGCTGAAGGCAGATGCTTAGGGACTAAACCACCCAGGCGCCCCTGGAATTTATTTTTTTAATCCAATTATTTTTAATAGTAATTTTTGCACAAATTTTCACTAATAGCTGTGACTTTATTCCTAGGGCATGCTTTATATAGCTTTCTACAGGACATTTTCTTTTAAGGAAAGTGTGTGTGTGTGTGTGTGTGTGTGTGTGTGTGTGTGTGGTGTGTTTGTGTTTTGGTGGGGGGATGATGGGGTGCTATCTTAGTGTTTTTTCCTCATGTGCATGGATATCACATGCTCTGACACCTAATTATCTGACTTTTGAAAATAGCTTTTATTTACTGGGCAGTAAAATAGTGAAAGAATCAACTATGGTACCCAATTAAGCAAATCTTTTGCTTTGGTCAGCTGAAGGGAATGGAAAATTTATTTTCTATTATAACTTCTTTTCATCAGTTTGTTGACAAGTGATATGAATAATCTGATGATATATATTTATATAGCCTACATTTCTGTAGTTCTCTTCCTGTATATTCTGTATTTCATGGCTTTGCTTTTTACTGCCTTTGTCGTGAGTTAATTCCACATTAAGCTGACTATATAATATGCAAAATGCTGGGTTAATGTAAGCTGCTCTTAACAATTGATCACAATTCATTTTAAATTAGTGAATTCATTTAAATGAATTAATTGGGCCATTATTTATACATAGTTGATTTCAAATTTTATTGGGAATTAAGTAATGAAAGAGTTGGCCCTGATAATTTTGGCATCTCCATAACTTAGGACAAGAAATGGTCCATTTTCTCCCTCTCTCCTGTTGTGGCCTCCTAATTTTTCTAATTATCTCTGTAGAAAAATCAACGTGGTGTTGAGTTGTTGGCAAATAAATGAGGGGGTTGAATTGTAGCATTGCGTAGCCCAGAGAAACTGCATTTTATCATGTGGTAAGGGGATACCAATTGTTAGAGTTCAGGATAATGCAAAAATACGTGCCCAGCACAGGAGAGAAGCCCACGCTTCTTTGAGAAGATTGATGCTTGACCTGACCTCCATCATCCTCTGATCACTCCAAATTTTCAGTTCTGTTCGGCTCTGTATTCATAAGGCATTTACTATGTTATTCTTTATTTAGCTTATATGGGTTGGTCTCTATTTCTCTCCCTGCACAAACTCTTTAAATATTTAAAAATATTTTCTTCTATCTCTTACAATCAGGCTCAGCTAAAGGTAGGCAAAAGTAGTGGCCAAAGAATTGAATTATCAGCCCATTGTGGCAATGGAACCAGCTCTGGAGGCTCCCAGCTATGTCAGATGTTGACCCTTTAGTTGCTGGATTGTGGCCATGTCCAGGAAGTGCTTGAGTTAGGGCTGGAGTAGCCAAAGACAATTGCGATTTTCCAATCAGTTTGAAGATATTTCAATATCTTACATAGACTTTTAACCCGAGAAATGGGAAAGCATTATTATTGCTAGAACTCAGATGTCTTAGACTTTAGCTTCTGACTAAAGTCATGTCTCCTTTTGACATCCAAATCTTTATGACACAATCTTCCATGCCTCAAGCCTACAAAGATTCAGACTTTGATCACGTTCTTCTCTCCACATGTCTTAGGACATGTCCTGGATGGCTGATGGGTTTGGTTCCATGGATACCTCCAGGTCTTGGTTGCCTCCCACGGACAGCCATTTGCTTCAGACTGCTGTACTGTTCTTCCGTAGTCATTTCTGCTACTGGGAAACCACCTTTCCTTAGCTGCTACTACTTCACCTCTTTACTTAAGGTGTAGGCCAGGACCCGCTCATAATTTCCACACAGTAATGACTTAGGACAGCTTCCAGTGCTTATGAGACTTTACAAAAACTTAAAGGAAAAGTGGAGAAACTAAAATTTGGAAAACAGAATTCTTCCCAAAGTCCACTGGCTACAGACCACCTCAATGGAATCTCCAGTGAGTCCCTTATCTCTGGCTTGTTGTAGGGAACCACCACATTCATTAGGTAGCTTTTGAACAAGGTTCTTTTCAAAATCTAGAACTCATTTGTCTAAAGCCCAGAGGGAGGAAAACACTTTCTTCTTCTCCAGGGCTAGCTTGTCTACCTCCTATTGGCTTCTTCCCACCAATTCTAAGACCTTTTCCAGCTTCCTCAATCTCCCAAGTCAGGACCTCTTCCTTGTGGATTACTCCACAAGCAGGATGCTAGAAGTCCATTCCCCATTCCCCTGAAAAAACCCTGTCAGCCCTTTTTAAGCCTTTTCTCCAGCCTGGAAAGAAGAGAGGATGAAGACTGAATGTACCTTCTGCCTTAAAATGGCCTCTCCCAGTTTCTTATTAGCAAATATCAAACAAGAGCCCATGTGTGCACATCTTGAGTGAGAATAATAACCTTTGGTATAGATGAGTCTAAATCCTGATCTGGGTGGAAAATCTAAGCAGATAATATCATTTGCATAATTCTGCAAAATTCTGCCCATTTTATAGCACTCTAATAACTAGAACATGATACGAGTCTGAAGTGCCTGTATTCACATCCCTTCATGGCCTTCAGTTATTCTCCAAAATAAGAGAAAGACTGTCATCTTAGATGAGAATAACTAAAACCACCCATCAGATTGATCCCAACTAGAAAAAATGGACTGTTAATATTCATTAAAATGGCTATCTTTCCCAGCTTCTAAGCCACCCCTCCAACAAACACTGAAGTGTCACTCTTTACCAGGTATTTTGTGACATTGAAGAATTTTATTTGTAATTAAAGCTAGAATTGCAGAGGAATTATTACTGGAATTGTCTCCTTGAGTACACAGAACATGAAACTATGGTGTTTATGAGATACAGATGGCCCCCAAGAGTGAACCTGTCAAAGAGCCATGGAGGCTGTATAACCCTGATGGGGCAGTTGTAAACAGGTAATATCAGGCTCTCGGTGT